GAAACTGATGATGAAATTTTACCTGTGATTGCACCATTTCTCTGAACTTTGAAATTTATTTGCTCAAGTTCCCATGAGAAATTGTTTTTGGTGTTATTTCAGGCAACTATTTATATCTTTAGCTTTTAGAATATGCAAAAAAGACCGTAATATACAAGATTTTTGTCCATTAAAAACAGAAATTGTTCGATTTCCTATCGGATTGCGTCTTAAATTGAGCTTCTGCTCAGGAAGTGGAAAAAAAATGGAAAGCTTGTAAAAATTGGGACCAGTTCATTACAAATTCTCAGTGGTAAAAGAAACGAAGTGATTAAAGCGATAGCGACTCAAAACCAACAGCAACTGAATACAAGCAAACGTGTTATAAATAATCCTTTATTCTTGTAACTAAATTTATTTTGCTCTCCCACCCTGGCAGTCTGTGAAAAAAAAGCGACATCAGCTATGGCTATGAAGTTATCCTCTTTGAACGTAATCATAAATTTAGTTACTTTTATGTTATAACAAGCTATTAAGTTCAGTGAGATTCTAAAGGAGTCACTAAGCAACACTTTGTCAGTGATCTACATTCATTACGCGCCTTTAAGATAAAATCTTCAGTAATACATTAATTACCTCTCTGGAATCTCTATTTTCCTAATTTTCCCTTTGAAAACACTACCTGTATTGTATTCTGGAACCAGGGGCATTGTTATGGCCAGTTAGCTATTGTTTAAGAGACAAACAAATTTAGACTTTTTCTCAAAATTATTGGATATCCTTTAGTTTTTCTGGCCGTTTTCGTCTTATTTGTTTCGCACACTATTCCCCACTCAATATTCATTCGTTCATTACAATTTCGAGGAAACTGAAGCCAATCTTGCATTGAAGTAAATAAGTATAATTGTGCAGATTGCCCGGGAATATTGACCAGCGGAGAGATTTCTCGCTACTTTACAGCGCTCAAACAAGACGAGGAACTGTTAATGTTTGTCGTACTTTTCCTCGAAAAGGACAACCCCACATTTAGATTTGACCTAAATCTGGATGTTAAGCTGTGTTTTAGAATGTTGAAACAATCGCGCAGTGCTTGGCGATATTTTGGAACCCTCCAGGCGTAGATGAATGGATCAATTGAAGAACTGATGAACAACAAACGTGATGCAACAACGTCAATTTTATGAAACGTGACCGACTTTTGGCATGTCTTGCAGAGGTATAGCAAATGTAACGTGGTATAGAGAGGAACGCACGTGATAAAGAACAACACCAGAATGGTTATGATAGTGATGGCCATATTTCTTTCCCGCGCCAACGTATGTCTTTTGTCTATCCGTGAATTTTTGAAGCTGACACGAGCGTCTTGTTTGCGTCTCGAGAACGCGCGAAAAACGTTAATATACGCGAGCGTCAGAACAATGGCGGGAAGCGAGACGTGAGTGTGAAGGTAAATCAGTGTGTACGTCTTCTCCGCTAAATTCGTTGCCGGAAGAAGCGAAATTGGCAGAGCTACAATCCATATCGACGCAATCAGAATTTTGATTCTTTTCTCGGTAATCGTGGTTCTGTAGAACATGGGGTTGTTGATCGCAATGTAACAAGTCAAGGACATCGCGATCAAAGTGAACCTGCTAACAAACAGCGTCGTGGAAACAATGATGTAGATAATAGCTTTCAGCAGACCAGCGTGAGACAGAGGCAATTGAAGGTACCGCAACACATCTCTCAAGGCCACGGGAAACACAACTACAATTCCAAGCAAAAGTTCGGATGCGCTCAGATTGGCGATTAGGAAACTTGGCGCCGTGCGAAACGACTGTCGAGGGTCCTTGTAAATAATGAAGAGCAGAATGGCGTTCGATACAAAAGTTACTGCAGACATCGCAAAGCCTGTTGTAGCTAAACCAAGCCAGAACTCAGGAACATTTATGACCCGAAGATAGAAGTCGTAATCTTCACCCGTTGAGTTTTCCTTTGCCATTGCGGGCAACACACTCGCCATTTACCAGGGACACAGCTTCAAACAGTGCTGTTGTTGGATGCTTGTATATCCAGTTGAAAACTTTGCTTTTTATAGTTTGCTGCTCTTAAATGTTGTGTCTGAGCAAGGGAAAATCTACTTAACTGTTTGAACGATTTTCTTGTACGTGCGGTAGCTATCCTTCGTTTCAAAATCCGTTGACACTTGCAGCCTAATTTGGCACTCGATGTGCAAACTGCATCTGTTTAACTTTTCACCTTTCCTTCTTATTGGTTGAATAAATACTGTGAAATTAAAATAGCAAATGAAAATGTAATGAAGTGACCTTGCCAGAAATAACTGAGAGTATTTTATAATTACAATGCGTGGGATAACATTCCAGTGAAAACTACCAAGTAAATAATTAGCATAACACGTACGCTTCGAATCCCTTGTCAATTCGCCACCTTTGTGCTTTCATTTCGAAAAAACACTTGCCACTTTCTAAAATAACTGGCTGGTTCAACGAAGAGCAGCACGCTTTATAACGAGAAGGTATGCGAGAGAAGAAGGCTAATTAATCCCTGAAGCAACTAAATTCGCCAACGCTGGAGAAAAGGAGACAAGTAGCTAGATTTGCACTTTTGCATACAGGCCTTAAAACCAGGCCTCTATTTTACATCCCAAGTTATCTACAACATCAGTCTTTTTTAAAAACTATACCGTCTTATCCATTGAAATTAATCCCGCTCATTACATCCTGAGACACTTATAAGTATAGTTTCTGGTCAAAAACTATCATTGACTGCAACAGTTTTCCATTTGATTTCTATTCGATAGACTCTTACACAAAATTTAAGGCCACCATCTCTGACCACTTTTATTCGGTGTAATTTATTCCAATTTACTTGAGCTTTCCCTATTTATTTTTGTATTTATTTAAATTTTACTTATTTAATCTTGCATTCATGTCACTGGGTGACGTTACAAGAATATAAAGTGTAAATGTAAAATACCCTTTAAATGAGATTACAATTCACGTACTGAATTGGAGCAATTCCACTCTGGCGAAGAAAAGAAAATAGTAAAATAAATAATTAAAACATGTTCATTGAAAAATATAATCGAGGTGTTATCTGATGAGTTATTCAACCAAAAGCAGGAAACTGGAAGAAGGGTAGAAGTCTGGCTAAACTTGTCTGGCAACATAGTTAAGGAAACATTGTTTCTTGTTATGTTTTTGGAGTTACTAAATCAGCGAGGACTGGCAGACAAAACTTTTTGCTGACCAGGTGAAAAACAAAGAAAAACAAAGGGTCACGGAAAACAAAGGGGCAAGCAAGCGCATAATAATAAACTGACTTTCGAAGATATCTGGAGAGACTTTTTTTTCGTTCTAGGGCTTGTTCCCTCATAAATTGTGATCTCAGAATTTCCCATTTGCTTTTTCAAACGTCTTGGTGATACCAAAATTTATTTCTCTGACACCCGTGCATCGCTTTGACAATAAGCCACCTCCTTTTTGTCGAGAAAGGAGAAAAAGAAGAGGAATAATAATAATAATAATAAT